TTAAAGAGAAATTGTGAGTCGGCCTACTAGGGGATACTGCAAGCTTAACACGGTATACAGAAAGATGCTGACGTGCGATTTGAAGGCATGGAACAGCTTAGTAATTTTATATCTATACACTTTGTGATTTTTAGGTGTGTATTCTGAAGAGATGGAATGTGATCGTTATGGTTGTGCTTATATTTGAGACTGGGCAGTCTACTGCCAGCCACGTAAATCCTGGCCCGGTTTGAGCACGGTGTATTTGCATGAACTGGGGCTGTATATATTTGCTGTTTAACAAGCAACAGATAGCAGAGTTTTATAATAGATTCATATTCTACTTTATGGCAAAATGGGGGGAGATGCAAATAATGATGTTCTGAGAGCAAATATGAAAGGGGTGGGTGTCTCTCTGTATACTCTACACACAGTGAGATATGTGTATATATATAGTAATAACTATTGTAGCCAAAAAGGAGTAAAGGTTAAAACCAGAGCTTGCCTTCCTCAGATGCAAGCCAGTCAGTGTCTCTCAAGCTATTCCTTTATCAAAGATTTGATTTAGAAACCTGCCTGTGTAGGCACACTGCCTGTGTACAGTCGCATGCACACAGCACTGTGTATGGAGTTCTCTGTGTAAGTAAAAGCAGTTCTTGGTGGTTCTTACAGGGTGTGTAACAGTGAAGAAATACTCATTTAGTGTTAGTATTTCTAATGTATTTGGTTCATTAAACCCAACTTTCTCTCTCTAAGGTGTTGAAATATGTTATGAACTGTACAATCCTCGAATCCAGGCAATCGAGGTTCTGAAGCTGGAAAAGAGGCTGGATGACAACCTGATGTACCTGCGAGATGCCCTCCCTGAATATAGTACTTTTGATGTGAATATGAAACCTGTGTCTCGTTTAGACCACGAGGAAATTCCTGTAAACAAGGTAGGAGCTGCATGTTTCACCGGGAAAGCGGAGGATCGTTTGGGTAGCTGTCAGATCTGACTGATATCCTGGAAGGCTGTTAAACAGCTCTTTGCTACATTAGGTTCCAGGGTGACAGAAGTGTACAAAATAAGGCAAGTCTTTATACCATTTCTATAGTGAACAAATGTTGAGAATGTAAATATCTACCACCCTCGGTAGTTAATTTAAAGACGTGCGAGGAGTAGTGGCCTCCATGTGCTTCTATGTAACACTGTGCAGAGAGGAGAGCTTTTCTTACAGAAACGTGATTGTTAATGTTGTTACTGATCTGGACTGGTAGGTATCAAGAAAGAAGGTAAGATTGGACGAGTAAGCTGAAATCTGCATCTCAGAGAGCATCCAGGAACCAGTGGACCCTCTCAAAGAGTGTTGTCAAGTAACTTAGTGATTGTTCTTCCCTTTCCCTATCACGCTGCTTCTCCGTTTCCTTCATAAGGAACAAGAGTAGAACTAGAAAAGAGGAGTTCACTTCACTTTATGGGTCAATTTAAGGATGGTGTAATAAATCAAGACAATGTTAATTAAAAAGTTTTACAAGATACTGTGACAACAGCCATGTGAACCCAAAAAATTCCTTTTTTCCTGACAGTGTAAAGTAGTAGTTCCTTAACATAGTGACAAACTGGTCTGTTTTCTCTTTCCTTCTGTTAGAGCAGTGGTTGTCTTACCTTTTTGCTAAACTCACAATCAAAATTCTGATTACTTAATACCATTTTTTATTTTTTTAAAAAAACTTTCACCCTAGCTGCAGGTACGAATGAAACCTAAACCATGGTCAAAACGGTGGGAAAGGCCCAAATACAATATAAAAGGAATAAAGTTTGAGCTACCTGAAAAAAAAATGAAAGAAGCACAGAAGTGGAGCCAGCCCTGGCTAGAGTTTGATATGCTGCGAGAATATGATACTTCAAAAATAGAGGAGAAAATTTGGAAAGAAGTGAGTGAAGAGCTTAAAAAATAATAATAGTTTTTGCAGTCTAGGAATTACTGAAGAAATATTTCCTTTGAATTTCCTGTATGGATTATCAGTTGTCAAGTTTTGTATATACATAGGCAAAATACATAATAAAGTGAACCTTTCTTTAAAATGTCAGTGTTTTCTGGTTGAACACTTCCTTTCTATTCCTGAGAACAGCAACTCCTTTTTCTGAGGAGCGTAATGCTATGTTCACTCCAGAAATGAGAATCCTTTTTTTTTAAATTACAGTTCACAAGAGGGGTTTGTATCACTCACTGATGTTAGTTGTGTTGTCATTTCCAACTGCTTCTGTTACTTCTTTCTTCACAGACTGGGTGGTGGCCAGACTGTTCGACTCCTAACTTCAGAAAGGGGCTAGAGCAGGGCAGTAGACAGTCTGAGCCAACCATGTGCTCTCAGAGTAAGTGCTCTTTAGTTTTCCCATTAAAAATAAATTATGTTCCTGCTAGAGCAGTAAATATAAATGCTCTGAAATCAGTTTTGAAGTGAGACAGTTTAAGCCAAATCATGGTAATTAGTGTAAGGTTCATGATGAAGTGCTCACAAAATGTCAGAGCAGGTTCTCAATACTGGGACAGCGGGTATCCTAAAACTATTTGCATAGTAGAAATGGCACTCATGGGTTCAGAGCTCGTGGTAACTGCCTTCCCATGCTTACATGTCATCTGATAGCCTTCTATGATGGCATGAGCAGCTGGGTGGATGTCTACTTTTGACACTGTCTCTCATAGGATGCATGGGTTGAATGAGTGGACAGCGAGGTGGGCTGAATGGCAGAGCCCAGAGGGTTGTGATAAGCGGCACAGTCTACTTGAGGCCTGTATCTAGTGGTGTGCCCCAAGGGTCAGTGCTTGGTCTGGTCTTATTCAGCATACTCATCAATGACCTGGTGAGGGGACAGTGTACCCTCAGCAAGTTTGTGGAGGATACAAAACTGGGAGGAGCCGCTGATACACTAGAGGGCTGCACTGCCATTCAGCAAGACCTGGACAGACTAGAGAACTGGGCTGAGAGGAACCGTATGAAATTCAACAAGGGCAAGTGTAGGGTCCTGCACCTAGGGAGGAATAACCCCAGGCACCAGTACAGGTAGGGGCTGACCTGCTGGGAAGCAGCCCTGCAGAGAAGGACCTGGGAGTCCTGGTGGACAACAAGCTCTCCATGAGCCAGCAGTGTGCCCTCGTGGCCAAGAAGGCCAGTGGCATCCTGGGGTGCATTAAGAACAGCGTGGCCAGCAGGTCAAGGGAGGTTATCTTCCCCCTCTACTCTGCCCTCCTGAGGCCACATCTGGAGTTCTGCATCCAGTTCTGGGCTCCCCAGTTCCAGACAGACAGAGAACTGGAGAGAGTCCAGCGGAGGGCTACAAGGATGACTTGACTTGACACTCACCCTTTAGCTATTTCTAAGTACTGATCAATACTTCACTCTGAGGGTGACCGAGCACTGGGACAGGCTGCCCAGAGAGGCTGTGGAGTCTCCTTCTCTGGAGATGTTCAAAATTTGCCTGGACACAATTCTGTGCAACCTGCTCTAGGTGATCCTGCCCTAGCAGGGGGGGTTGGACTAGATGATCTCCAGAGGTCCCTTCCACCCCCCTACCAGTCTGTGAATCTGTGAGGATTACAAGTGATCTTTCTTCCAGAAAGAAAGATCAAGAGCACTAAATTGTGATAAAACATCTATTACATTTTCATAATAGCACAAAGCTGGTTGCTTCAGGGGAGAGGTTTAGCTGGGATGAGACAAAGGAGAACAAGAGAAGAGCAATGAGATCATCAGCAATCACCACAAGCTTATCAACTACTGCATTTTTGTTGGCATTCTGAGAGGAAAAGCAACATAAATTCAGTATTAGCAGGATTTGCAACTTAATGTAAGACTAATGGTGTCTGGGTTTCTTTCATACTTCTAGTAACATTCTTGTCACATGTTAAACAATTGAACTGTAGGAGTCATTAACAGAGCAAAATATTTTTACTTTATTTTCAAAATTAATTATTTTAAAAGTCATCTTTTTGTCTGTAAGACTGATCAAAGCTATTTACAATTAAAATGTTTTACAAAAATATATTTTTAACTTAAAAAAAATACAAGAAGTCACAGGGATTAAGTCTGCAAGAGTTAAATTCTAGTCCCAGAAGATTCTGGAGAAAGTCAGGAGTAAACATACAAAGTCTGACACTAGAGTTTCTACATAAAGCATCCTTATTAGTCTCTAACAGTATTTATTGCAAAAATACAAAGTTAGAAAACATCAGAAATCTAGTAAGGGTACGATGAAGTAACATTCAGTAGATCTTACTGGGAAGCAAAAGGCAAAGTTTCAGTTACTGAGAAGAAAGTAACTCAAGTTGTTCTTGTGCTTCCCCTCAAGATGTCTGTTGTTAAAAGTAAAAACTCCAGCTCTGTGCACACAAGTTCAGTCGGTATCACCCAGGTACAAAACTACACACATCAGGTGCGTATCACTACATTTGCTCTTCCAGACATTCTCTTGTGTAACTTCTTACCTCAATGAGCCCACGCTGATCATCAATTCATGAGTCAAGCTCCTTACCCCCACACTGACTTCTCTTTTTTCTGTGTCAAGGTCAAAACCTCTGCAACATTATGAATTCTTTTTAATTAGGGACGGTTTAACAACCCTACCAAAAAAATCACTGCTGACCACAAGTTAGAGGAGCTCAGTATCTCCTGAGTCAGAGAGTGATATTTAGCAACTAATACTGAAAATAGCTTGTAAAGCTGTCTCCTTGCTAGCAGAGATAAACTTTACAGGCACTTTCTATCTTTCCAGGAACTCCTCAAAAAAGGGTAAAGCAATAAAGCATTGTCAGACATTTCAGAATGCCTGAACCACCGCTTTACTTTGACAACTGTAACTTCTAAAAACTCTCCTTAACCTAGGAGTAGATGGCACTAGAAGACATTTGGAAAAAAAACCTCAAGTACTTAACAAGACAGTGATTACCACTACATCTTTGAGTAGGCGGGATCCACTAAACTGCATTAGTGTGAATATCAGGGTTGTTCCAGTAATACAAGTGTTGCTTCAAAAATTCCTATTTCTCAATCATCGATTTAAGGTGTTCAAGTTTGTTCTCTTCAATGAAGTCTTCAACAATATGCAGAGCTTTGACTTTCACCAGCAGGAGAAGAACTTCTTTTGTTTCATTACTATAAATTAAAAAAAATAAGTAAATAAATTTGATACAGCAACACATTTGTGTACAAGACTTAAGTACACTTTATTAATATTAGAGCGTCAGGTATCTCTCCTTGGCTGCTTGTCATCAGGTGACCTTGGTTACACTGATCAGTAACAGTACCCAACATCTAGTGCCTCAGTCACATTAAACTAGAGCTGCCAAAGCGCTCCTTTACATTATCACTCTATCTTTTCTTTTCTATGTGACAAAAATATCCTTGAAAGCGTCAAATATATGAGACTTAAGGAATTCAAGAAATATTTAACACAAAGTATAGGAGGAAGTACTTGAATCCCAAGGAAAGCCTTTTCCACTACCTGTGGTTGTTCTTGTGTAGCGTACGTGCACACTGCAGCAAGTGTTGGCAGAAGTTCAGTAACTCGGGGAGAGTTGATCCACTTTTAAGATCTCGGAACCATCTTTCTGGGAGGCATGCAACCACCTGTTAACACAAAAAATATTCAGAAAAAGTTTAAAAAGAAAAGTCTTTCAGTGTAACCACATCACTTCTGACAGGGACTTTTCTTTTTGGCAGGTTCAGTCATTATTACTGTGTTTTTTCTTTGAAAGCAAGATTGGTTATCCCTACAAGCAGTTATTCTTAAGAACCTATGGACCAATATTTGCTCTAAAACACTTTTATGCACCAAGGTCTCAAAAAAAATAATTTTTTTAAAAAAATTTAAATGTTAATTATTTTTTTTTTTAATATTCCATCTTAAGTTGGATCCCTCTTCATGGAAAAAAAAAACAAAACCCAAACCAACTTTTAGCAAACACTTTCTTCCCGTGTACGTGTCATCTTTTACCTTATTACACTTTTCTATATTATCCGGCCCTGGCGGTGTGTTTAAGAGGGTCAGAAGAAGGTAACGATTCAGCAACTTGCTCAGTCCCAAATCACGGACTGTATCTTCTTGCACAATCCCATCCCAAAGAAGAACATTGGAGAGCAGCTGCAGGAATAAAGAAACAGAGAATACGCGTACCTGGTGGCTGGAAGCATGCTAAAGACAAGATTACAAGTTTTATACGAGATAAACATAAAAAGATAATATGATGTCCATCCAATATAAGTACTCGAAACCCAGGACTCACACTCTCCATACTTACTGTTAGCCACTAATAAGCTGCATGTAGTAAATAATCTTATCAAGTAGGATAATTAATGTTATATATGCATATGAACTGTACCCTAATAAGCATATGTATGACCTCCCAAGGTTAGGAAGAGCATTTTACTGTTGTAATAGGTGAACAATTTGCTCAGGCTCAAGTACAAAAGATGACTACGCTTTATTCTTTTCACAGAAGAGCTAGCAATCAAATCTGAAAGCGTGAAAGAAGGAAAGATTATTTAAGACACGTGGTCTGAGAAATATGGACCAAGAACAAGTGGCATCCAATTCTAGATCAATCTTCAGAGAACACAAGACAGAAATAAAAAAAGTTACTACAGCTGCTCAGGATAAGAGTACACACACTCCCACTTAACATGAGGGAGGTTGGTAGCCACGGTTCATAGCAGCACAAAGATTTTTTTGTAATTTATCTCAGTATTATTAGGGAGTGAGAGTTTTCTTCTGATGCCCCTATCACTATAAATCCTTGTAATTGTAATTTTTAAGTCTGATGTAAGAACATGACTATTTTTTCCCTTAACTCAGAACAGGTTAGTTTTAAGGTAACTGTTAATCTCACAGTATTTTACCCTGACAGACACAACATGCTCTGTCTGCAGTCACCAGTCAAAAAGCACTCAAAGCCCACTGCCTTGGCATATTTCTCTGGAACAGCTGATGGGACACTTCCATCTAACTGCATGAGCAACTAAAGCATAGATCAAAGAGAAAGGAGCACTTCCATTGGCCAGCATTAATCAGGGAGGTACACAGCGTAGTAAACAAGAAGCACTTGAGCTACACACCATACCTGCACTAGGCAAGTTAGGCAATAGCAGGTATAAACACTGAACTTCCACCTGTACTTTTGCATTAGAGGAGTTCCTGGCTCACTTCCCACCCAAGCCAACGAGTATTCTTCCACGCAATTTCTGGGCATGGTTTAGAGGCCATTCCTAATAAGCACTGTGAAGATGGCAACTGGCAACCCATGTTGAAAGACAAGGTTTAACAGCATGATGAAGACGGGGTTTAATAGCTGCACAACAGCAGTGGGTCTCAGTGCCAGAGAGCAGTCTCAAGCACAGACGAGTCACACTAGTCTAAGTATTAAGTAGATCCCGAGTTTAACACAGATGAGTTGCAGTACTATTTACGCTGAGGTGACTGAATTCGTGCCTCTACTCCAGGAAAAAAAAAGTTATCTGACAACTATCAACAGATATACACAGCAAGAACACTCTCCATTATCACCCCTTCAAAGATGACTACACAGATGAGTTGCAGTACTATTTACGCTGAGGTGACTGAATTCGTGCCTCTACTCCAGGAAAAAAAAAAAGTTATCTGACAACTAGTCGACAGATATACACAGCAAGAACACTGTAAACCACTCTCCATTATCTCCCCTTCGAAGATGACTGCTGTGACAGTGAAGATTGAAGTTTTCTCCTTTTAGCTTTTGATTTCTATCTGCAGGGCAAAGGTCCCAGGTCTGACTTCCAGGAAAACACAACACACAGTCCTAGAAGGTGGGACCACAATCCCAAGTCTGCCTTGGTTTTTGCTAGGTGTCCTGATCTCCAAGTATTAAGCTCCATCTTGCTTTCTCTTCATCTGTCCACGACAGATTCCTGCGCAGCAGGAGCAGAGGTAGCAAGTCTTTTGGCAGAGACCTCAACTTTACAACAGAAGCCTCCTCAACTTTACAACAGAAAGGAAGCTCTGCATCACAACAACGGGAAGTCTGTGCAGGGCTAGGCATCACGAATAGCAGGGGAACTGGAGTATTGTCTCAGATTTTAATGGGGTTTTACACATCTAAATCTCATCTTTGGTAGGAGTCCAAATCTACTCCTAGAGGAAGCATATCTTAAGTAGGAAGTGAAGCACAGGCATTCAGAAATTCCCAACTCAGCACCCCAAAAGTAAAACTGTAGTGATGTGCTCATATGAATATGCAGTGATGATACTCTACAATAAGAGTTAACATAACTAACACCATTTTATAAGACAAATGGCTATTTTCTGTGACCAAGCTGGTCACATGTTAGCCCCCTTTCCTCTCATTATCAGGCCATGAAGGTCCTGTGCACCAAACAGATTTCTTCCCCTCCCTGTCAGCCTCAAAATTCCTGGGTGCCAGGCTGACTACTGCCTTCTTCAACAGCCTCGAAGGCCCTAGGCACCAGCCAGCTGGAGGTGATGACCTCCATCACAGAACAGGCACATGTAACAGCACACAGAACACCATCTAAAATCGGGCAGTTACAAGTCCTAAGGGGAACTGGCACCAGAACTGCTGCTGGACAGTGAGATCCACAAGCACCTGTGTGGCCAGGGACACCTCCACCATCCTGTTTCTTTTGAGGACCAAGTGACTTGCATTTTTACATGTTTTGAGTCTAGATTATGACTTTTATTATTGATACTGCAAGCCAAATACTAAGATTTGACTCAATCTGCAGAGGGTCCAGGTGTAGGAACCGTAAGCTAAGCTGTCCTATAAATTCTGTGCTATGCTACTTACAGCATTGTGCTACACCAATTCCAATTATAGAATTCCTGTGCTACTCTGATCATAAAATGCTATGCTGATCATAAAATTCTGTTAAAAAAAATAAAGCTTTAATTGTACCTACAACTTAATGCCATCATCATTCTGCCCAGGATCCCCAAATGAACCTGTCTGTCCCCATAGTGTCAGGTGACAGTCTGTCAGCAGAGCAGCAATGACTAATTACTACGGTGTAAGGCCAACGGGCCTGGCTGACCCACTCAGGAAAATGAACCAGCAGGAACAGATGGTCAGTCTCTTGCAGAAGACTTACTAGTTGAGTAAACAGAAATAAAGTGTTCATTTGTAGTTCATTCTTAAATAATCACATGCAGGTTGCACAGAGAACACATCCTTCACTGAGAAAAACAGTTATCCATCCTAATAAAAAAATGTATTAAACTCCCAAGAATCAGAGTTGCCTGAAGATATATTTCACGAAAATATATTTTCATTGAAATGAATTTCAAAGAAAAACACAGGTACATTTTCTCTACCTTAACAGCTGACCAAAACCGTCTGTCTTGAAATTTTGAACACAGTGATGATTTGTCTTCCACAGAGCTAGTCATGAAAAAAAGAAAGAAGGTAAAATAAGGATTATTTTTTGTTTGCTTTCAAAAGATAAACAGACAATTGATCTCTTAGATCCTGATGAATGTTAATTCTGGCATTCTTTCAGCAGTGACAGCCACAGCCAGAATAAAGATGGAGGGAAACAGCTGTCGATCTGAACCCATTATAATACAACTACTACGAAATAACTGCCAATAAAATTACCAACTGGAAACACTTTTGTGTTTCCACACAATACATTTCATGGATTCAGATCAAAACAGCATTGCTTAGAACTAAACATACTACACCAGCTTCAGCAAAGCTTCTCTCCTACCTGTACCCTAACCCTAGACCTCCCAGGCTCCCACTCATTCCCATCCTTGACATAGTGTCCAGTAGTAAGCATCAATATAAACTATTTTAGGAATGACAGGAGGAATCGGGGACACATGCACATGACACCAGATCACCTAGACACGGGCCCTCAGATACAGGTTGCTAGGCTAAAACCAGGCTGTGGATCTCATAGTGGAAAACTTTTGGTTACAGGAGCAAAAAAGCATTAAGCCAGTGGAGTTACTCTTATTGGAAAGAGTTTATGAACAGGAATAAAACTTCATAACCTTTCCTATAATAAAACAGTAGAAGGCATGTTTATCCCATTACCTGTTAACGGATGTCTACAATATTTCTTCTACATCTGTGCAGGAGAAGGGTAGAGGAATTTAAAAAAAAAAAAAAATTGAGTCCCAGAGTCAGCTTACCTTTTAGGATACAGAGGAATAAACACATCTTCCTCTACAGATTTCTTCATTCTTAGGACAACCATATTTATCAAATCCTATTAAAAAAGAAATTATTAATGTGTCCTCACAAGAAAGACTTCATTTTCCATTTCTAACAACTTCAATGGTTATTTTGTTCATCTAGAAGTGTAATATGCCAATTAGAGCTAAGTACAGTTGTCACTTTTATATAATACACATTGAGCTCATTAACACATTGAAAAGAGGAGACGAGTTGCAGCTGTAGTTATCTATAGGGTTAACCTAGAGGATTTTTTTTTAAGATTAAGTTATTTCCCTAAGTGAGGCCTCTTTTTGCAGGTTAATTTGCAAGGCAGGAAAACTATAGATTAACAACAAAATAAGTTATGCACATAGGACCTCCAGAGAATTTCACAGCTTTTTATGTTATAAAAACCCCACAAACCACCACCATAGATAGGATAGTAGGGTTTTTTAGGTGCCATCAATTGTCACCTTTTTTTTTTTTTTTAAGTCTTTTTATTTAAAGTTCTGGTTAATCTTACTTTCTGTACAAATGGTATCTTGGCTAGAGTCAGTTGTACCACTTCAAGTCATGGTTTCAAATCAGCAACCTTTGGAAGGCTCAGTTGGAGGACATAAACATTTTCTTAAAAATATTTCTTTTGATACTCAGGGCCTAAACATCCACCCATTTCACCAGTTTTATACCAGATAAACCTCCAGATTTACATCAGAATAAAACTGCAATCAGGCTGAAGGGCATACTGGAGTGACTATGTGTATAAATGTAATTACTGAAAGATTTCAAAGATTACAGAAGCAGTCTTTCTCCTAGCCAATCAATTAACCTTTGGGGATTCTTAAATTTTAAAATTCTAGATTTACTTAAGCTTTTATTTATAAAGGAGTTGACCACTGGAGCATTACTAGCATTTAAAGTTCAAATTTTGAAAGATGTAAATGCAAATCTAAATTCTAACCATTGTTACTGCAATGAGGCAAGATTAGATCTGTGATGAGATTCTTGATAGGTACAAATAGAATTTTTCTAGGAACGGGAGCTAATTTCTGCCTCAAGAGTGTCCCATCTGCCATCATCTTCAATAACGAGAGCAGAGAGCTGGACGTTTAACTGTTAAGTTTTCTTAATATAAAGTGACAAAACAAACAACTAGTCATAAACAAACAACTTCAGGACAACATTCTAAGCACCCACAGGAGCACGCGCGGAAGGCTCACACAGTGGATGAGGTTCTCCCTTTCCCAATACCACAGGGGCTTTTACCTCTTTTGCTCGACTGCATTCATTTTTGGAAAGGACTTGTTTTTCAGAGATGTTATTGCAAAGTTGTATAAGGTTCTTTGTCTGTGAGGTAGATAAAGGATCCCACACATTCTTTACAAATGCTAAAAAAATATATATATATAAAATTAATTTATTTCATTCATGATACAAAAGAGGTTATCTGCTCTAGTTTCAAGGCATTACAACACAGCAGAACTAAACATACAAAAAGCTCTCACAATAATCTTACACAGAAACTTAGTCTCACTCTGTGGAACTATATAATCATTACATCTTGGAGCACAATTATATAACTAACATTATTTGACAGCTACCGCTTTTATTTAAGGTGTGATTACCTAGCTGCAGTGAACATTTTCAAGACAATCTTACTATACCTGTGATTTTTGGAAGAATAGTTTTTTCAATCACCCTAGGCAAAACTTCTTGATCAGGATTGTCATCCTTTTTTGGTTCAGATACATTTTTGGCATCACTGAATTCTTCTATAGCTCTGAACCAGGGCATCTCTTCCAATTCTGTAAAATTCTGCTGAAAAATCATTCTTATTAGTTGTTCAGCTGATCAGGACTGAGAAAAACTCCATGCAAAAATACATCCAATGATACCACAAAGATTCTCACTTAATTTCAGATCTCCCCCTCTCATCACAGAACAGACTGAAACAACCAATCAGGAAAACTAGATTTAAATCTAGAACGTAAAGGGTGGGATTGTCAAAGTGTCTTCAAAGAACTCAGGAGAATTCTTTTTACAGGGAGTGTTGCAAAAGGGGCTGGAAGTAAGGAGAAAGTTAAGAAGATTCCAACCACATGCTTCAAATTTCTGAGACCAAGACAGTATCTTTCCATTGATTTCTAATGCACTGTACTATGCACAGAAATAACTACATCTCATTTTTCATATTAATACAGACTAAAATGATTCATATAGAAAGAGTGACTTGACAAGAAGAAATGAATCATAGAATGGTTTGGGCTGGAAGGGACCTCAAAGCCCATCTAGTTCCAACCCCCCTGCCATGGGCAGGGACACCCTCCACTAGACCAGGTTGCCCAAAGCCCCATCCAACCTGGCCTTGAACACTGCCAGGGATGGGGCATCCACAGCGTCTCTGGGCATGGACCTCCTCCGAGTTAACATACTTATCCTGGGTTCTGGAACATCCCTACAACCCACATAACAGTTCCCACGCAGAACACATCTTCCCTGCAAACGGTGTGCCTCTGCTCAGGCATACTTTGGGCTGCCAGAAATACTCACATGTATCACTAACTGACAAAGACGAATAGGGCAGAAAAGGCATGTTTACAAAGACATCCAGAAACATAACAGGCTTTACTGACTACAGCCAACTGCTTCAGTAATGCCCAGAAGCACAGGGATCACCAGTATATTAACACACAAACACACATACAATTTTTGAAGAAAAAGTCAGCTGATGCACCTACCTCAAGAGGATTCCAATTTATTAACTGAACCCTGATCAATGGATTTAATAGCTTAGGCAGGCAGAAACCAATATAAGCGTCACAATAAGAATCAGGAAACTTCTCTTTCCATTCCTGGAATTTCAACAGGATTTTTCTGATGTCACAAAAATCTGCATGTACATCTTCCAAGATTTTCCTACTATCCTCTAAAACGTTATCTACAGATAATATTCATTGGGAATAAAAAGAAACAATCACAGAACTTATTGAAGCATAAGCTGAAGGAGTTTAGGTGTCTATAAGACATAAGAAATAGCTGTATGATAATTGCACTTGTCATTTGTCTTTGGCACACCTGATACTGAAACTAGTTTTAAAACCAGCTCCCTGGAAAACCCAGTTTCAGAAAAAAATACTGTCATCAGACCAAAAAAAGGTGACTTCCTTCATGATCTATCCCAGAGATTTATACAACCACTATGTTTCAAACTTTTATTCCACAGTGATAAAACTTCAGACATGAAAACCCTTCTGCTGTTATCTGGAGAAAAAGTATTATGCCTTTCCCTGCTCCTCTTAATCTATTCATTTAAGATAAATTAAAACATTAATCTTTAAATCACCCTATCTTCAGAAAACAAATTGATTATACAAAACATGTTGTATTGCATTGCACTAGAATACTGTCAGATCAGCTTTGGCATAATCTAGGAGAGCTTACTTCCAGTTGAAACAGTAATGTGTAATGCCACCACACAGTAATTCATACCAAAAGAAATCCACAACCATACATCTGTTCCTCTCAAGTCATTAGTCAGAACTGACTGGATGCATTTCTTTTCTATAGTGTGTAACTAAGAATATGCATTTCAAATGAAGTATCTCTTTCACCTTTCCTAAAAAATGAAAAAAATCATTGAAAAGTATCAGAAAGATTTTGATCACAGTAAGACTGTCACCAACCTTTGCTCTTCTGGAACTCAGTCACCTCTGCTGGAGTCAACTCATCATCACTCGACATGCCTTCACGGTGATCTGCTTCTCCTGAACACTCTCTCACTTGCCGTCTGCAAGTCCTGTATTTTGTAATTAACTCAGATGAGTTATCCTCCCCTCGTATGCAGAAGGAAGCTTAATGAAAAATAACCTGACTTCAAAAAATGTACTAAAAGCAAGCTGTGAAAGCAACAGCCTAGGGAAACGCAATCAGGGACCGACAGTAATTGTGTGAGCATAAGGACACAGAAACTGCAGAAGAAGGGGCTTTGAGAACTGACATAAACATCTCTGATCTCCCCCATGAACCATGTAATAACCTTCACTTCACCTCATTCCCGCTGATGAGGCTAATAACTCATCCCACCCAGAACACTACACATCTAACATGGTACTGGACACTATCCCTGACAGTTTTAGTGTACAGGAAACTACTGAGCTCTCAGTCTGACATCTCAATTCTGGATCACTTGTGCAACAACCCACATAAAAATTGTGACAGCACCCAAGTACCAGTTGGGCTCAAAAAAACTATTGCCAGGACACTAAGAATCCTAACAGGTGGTAAAATCACTATCAAATCACTATCTTGCATCTCTGCCACAGGAAAATGATACATGATATGAAAATGATATGTATAAATAATTTCACAGTTATTTACATCAACTAGCATAAAGATTGACTGCTTCAAGTGGAATTTTTTATTGTATCATTTTTCATCCATTAAAACATTGAAGTTCTTGCCACTTCAAAGTACAGTTATGAGTGGAGGCACCAATGCAACTGAAAAACTTTCAAAGTTCCCAATAACTTGGGGGGGGAGTGCAAAATACATAGCAGTCTCTGAACACTGTAATATCCAAAATGTAGTATCTGCCTACTATAGCAGGGGAGGAGCTAGCTAGATATTGCTTTGCTTCACTTGTCGCCACCACCTCCCCAGCAGCAACAATACTGCCTGACATTTTTTTGCTACCTATACAAAATACAAAAATGTATTTCTGTATAACATCATAATTTTATTTATTACAACAGGACAGAAAAAACTTCTGTCATATAGTTTTGTAAATAGCCTCATTTAAGACTTGTTAATTTAAAATAACAAGATCTATTAGCATTCAGATTCAAATCAACATGAAGAGAATGTCATTAACAAATAGATAGTTTCAAAAAGCAAATACCTATTTTGTATATGATCTCACTTAGGAAGCCTACAGGTTTAAATTCATCACTGCAAACATAAATGTACTGCACACTGGCTTTCTGTTATCAGAGCTAAGTGTACATATACATAATACCTACCTTCGGTGTTCACACATTTCCAGAAGCTGTGTCTTCTCACCACCTTCCAATCCACCATTACTTGGTTTGTCATTCCCACCTATGAGAAGACAGAAACAGAAACTTAAAAGTAATTTTATTTTTTGCTATTTTCTCAATAAGGAAACACTGATTCTCCTTCTGTTGTTCTTCATTTGGAAGACAGCCAAAGAAAAATCAAACCTCTGAATCAAAACTCTAACAGTCTCCAGAATCATGCACAGTAAATATTACTTGTTAACTGCATAGAGTTAGATGTGGTTATTCTCTTGTAGCAGTTGATGAAAAGGTGAGTTTGATGACACTCCAGTCAACGCTCACTGCTTCCCAATCCTGGAAAAGGAAGTTACTATCTTCCACAACAGGTTCTTATGAAAGTATGAAAGGCAAGTGTAGGGATGTCAAAAATGAAACCATGTAATAAATGAGAATAACTGTCGAGGTTTGGTTCCAACACTGTAACGGAACTTAAATCCCTGATTTACTCTATTCAAAATCATTGCGTTTAGATTTCCAGACTAGTCAGGTCCCCACTGTCTCCTGCTCCCTGAGTGGTCACTGACTGCGTGCCCACAGTTACCCCTACTCTGATTCTTGAATCCAAGACAAAAGTAGAAACTAGAAGCATTTTCTAGTTGGCCCATTCATTTGTATTGCTATTAGCTGGCTGATACACGCACAATATGCCAAAAAGAAAAGTATACTACCACTGAAGTATTATCATAGAAGAAAAAACAGCCTTTGCACTATATTAAATACAACTAGGAAAATAAAAAGTGATTAAAAATGCTGTTAAGTATCTAAGTACAGTCTCATTTGTAATGAGCCGTAAAGAAGTAAAATCATTTTAATGGCAATTATTACATCATTACCCTTCCTAACACCTGCTGTGAGTCTACTACATCATTTGACAAAAATCATACAGGCTGCTAGCTCTCTCTGATCAGCAGTTTATGCTGTGTAGTGAGAAGACTGAACCCGTTTGATTAACAGTGACCAGAAACTGGTGCATCTGGCCTCCATCTGTACCCGGCAGCTCCAAGCATATTGTTCCTAGTTTTGCCTATACAGTTTTAACGGGTTTGGATTTGGAGGTTTGGGTTGGTTTTCCTAAACAGCAGCAGCCAAAGATTCACACAGCATATAAACAATACACCAGTGTGGAAAGAAAATACAAGGTAAGAAAATTGTAATTATTTTTCCCCACAGTAACTTAAAAGCCACAGTTTTGTTTTAGATAAAACCCTTTCTTTCTTCATGCCCTTGCCTTCACCTGTCACCTCCTACTTTGAAACCTCCACTCTGAGCACATGCACAGCCTCAAAGACACGCACATGAAAGTGATGTTGCCAGATAAACACACTGCTTTTTCATATATTCACAGAATCCTCCATCAGCAAGCTTTCGCCAACCTCAGACCCACTAGAAAACTGACCATGTTAAAAAACTTACTCTATTTTTCTTTTTAAATACTGATGGGAAAATTGCGGAGTTGAATAACTAAAAATTGACAATGTACTTGGTCACGTTGTGTTCACTATTCAACTAGAGAAAAATAGTATTGCGGGCCTTACTGAGGTAAGGATTTCAATGGAGGTATAGTAGAGCACACCTACTGACTATGAGAAGGGGAAAGGAGATCAAAAGGCAAAAATTTAAAACTTCATTCAAAAGGTAACCATATATTTCTGCTCAAAAAGAGTGAAAGTTTCAATAAGAAAATAACTTCTAACTTCATACTAACTTGTCAGATGCTGAATATAAGTGGATTCATTTTTCAGCTCCTCTTGCCTTCGTTTTAATACCCTCACAGCTCGTTGCTGAAGAAGTAGATGCACAGCCAATTCTAGATCATTAATGCATTTCAGCTGAAATAAACAGTAATCAGGTTTTCAATTAATTAAAATCCAAAAAAAATGAACAAAAAACCAGTTTCCATGGGGTTTCAGTATAGCAGTGAAATTAGAACCAAAAGTATTACAGATTGAAAAGTACATTGCTGGTCATTGGAGTTTTTCAGGCTTTTTTGTAAGACTGAAAAACACAAACTAAACGCCAGTTGCTCATTGCAGGACTACCCAAGACTTCATACAAAAGGTTCAACGGGACACTATTGGTGCATTTAGTTTGCTTTCAGTTTACTTTTGAGCCACTAGCCATTAAAGAAAATTTATTCCTTAACTAATGTTTGTTCTCTTTGAAGTTACGTAAAGAAATTCACAATTGCAATGCAATTAAGTGACATAAGTGAGATTTGACAGCACTACCTATAGAGGATAAAAGCAGTTTACTTTCACTGAGGCCAAACTTTAGGCACCTCCTCCCCTTCTGCCAATCTTAATCTTTTTAAACACACAAGGTTTGCAGTTATTTGCAGCCAATAACTTAGACAAATTCTCATAGAGCTCTGCTAACTCAATCCCGACTTGAGCCTAACATGAGGTTACGTAAACCTGAGAAAAGACATTTTGAGAGATCCCAAAAGTTAAATTAAGTGCCACCTCTCATTCAACTTCAGTGCACTCTGGTTACTAGGCCTGCAGAAAACTCCCTCCAACAACGTTTTGTTTTCATCCAAGAGAATCTGGGTGAGATCACAGCTCACATCAGTATACCTATACTAGCTCGATCATCACTTCAGGTGAAAGCTGATTTGTTTTCCCTTTATTTTGTTTCCTGTTACATTAAAATTTCTGATAGAACTGATCTTTAACCATTTTTTTTTCCTGAGTGCCATCCCTCATTTAAAAAAAAAATCCCCTCATCTTTCATTTACAGAATGCACCTTTATCATTTAAAAAAAATAGAAGAGGGAAATATACATACTTTTTCATTCAAACAGTTTATCAAGTTTTCTACATATGTTTTCATGGCCCTGTAGAATTTGTAATTCAGAGCTGCATCCGTAGACTTCTCTAACTCCTGGACAGTCATCTTTGACTTTTCAATGTCCTCCATATATTTTTCATACTCCCGCTGGTGAGCACGGTGCACATCCTGTAATGATGTTATCCTAAAAAAGAGAAACCCAGACAACTAAAACTATTGCTAAGTTAACAGCTAGCACATTCCAAATCATTTTTTCCATTATAATCACATAAAAAAAATCTTTGCCTATGCTAAAAATAGTACTTGCATTTGACCTAAGCAGCACTGAAAGATTTACCCGTGCCAACATTTGCAGAAGGATGGGGTGTGGACAAGCATCATGCTTTGGAGACTCAAATGTCAGTTCTGCGGTGCTAGTTTTGAGAGCACCACTGACATTTTACCTAGATCTCTCAATTCACCACGCTTCCCAAACCTGTAAAAAGCCAAATTTTGTGATACCACATCAAACGGATTCTACCCAATGTAATCTGGCGAAAACTACAGCTCATGTCAGCATGTCCGCACTAGTTTAACATAAATTGCATGGATAGCAGAACCTATCAGCATTCACCATGTACTCACTACTAAATACAAACCAACTGAGGATTCTTGCTTCTACTAGTTGATAAACCCCACAAACCTGTATCTACAGCTGTCACTAACTACTAGATAGGTACCACAGGAACATTTACATATACTATAATCCTGCTTCCTCTTTACCCCTCACATAACCCAAGTGTTTGCCCAGCTTGAGCCAGCCTGTAACTGCACCAAGAAACAGACTGCAACTTACTTCATTTCCTTGAAGCACAGAACACTTTTTAATTAAAATAACTCAACAAAGCTATTGCTCTCCACTGTGCTACAGGTTAAAACAACAAAAAAAACAAACCCAAAACCAAAAACCTATTTCAGCATTTAGTATGTTAAACACATCTATAAAGCTTACATCAAACAGGTTCCTCCTCTCCCCTTCTCGCTATTTTCCAAATAGGTTTCCCACTCTTGATAGTCTTATTTGTTTCTGTATCTAAATTCATACTTCATTTAACTTATTCCTTTCAGGTGATTATGTCAAAGAAAGTATACAATTCCACAGAAATATTTAGTTCAATTTAGTTGCAATTCTTTAAACAAGCAGGTCAATGATGATCTGTACAAAGCAAAGCATATACAGAGAGAACTCAGGGCAAGTCCATAGTGCATATTTATGTTTCAACTGTATAACGTTACTTGTCTAAACTTATCGGAACAGCTGCTTCTTGGTGCTCAGAGAGATGCCAGGGGATGGCTTACCTTAGGATGCCTGACCCCAGCTGTCCTCATCACACACACACACTCTTGGAGGTTCCCACTTCCACCCCAGGACACTTCAGCTGCCCATACAGCAGCTGAACTGCTAAAGAAAAGTCACAGCCTGGCACACGACTAAAGAAAAAAAGTCATCAAGGCAGGTTCTAGTTTGTCTAAACATACTGCAGAGAATTTACTGCTGCTTTAGGAAATACTGAGTTATTTGTAGCAGGTATAAGAGCCACCATAAGAGAGTGAGGATTGCCAGCTCCATCTGCCCTGGTTGAAGTTCTGCTTTCTGGGTAAATGTAACACTGAATCAACACTCCTGTCAAAAACTACTAGCAAGCATAAAAAGCTGCTGCCACTTAAATGAACCTACTCTCTAAAGTTCTAGTTGATAAAGCACTCTTGAAAAGTTCAAATGCTCCTCCACAACAAAACATTGCCAGGTAAAGTTAAAAATTTGTAGTACTCTAGTGGACATCACAAGAGGCATATTACACATGAAATAACCACCCAAAAATTCTCCAACAGTCTGGAAAAAGAATAAGACTTCAAAGCTGTCATCTCTCATTCTGTGACAAAACCTCATACAAGTCAAAAGTTAAGCTCGTAAGAACAGGATTTACCTTTCAGTCAGTCGCTTCTTCACAATTTCCAAGGTTACAGGTGGTAGAGAAACAGAGGGATCAAACTTTGGTTTAGTTGGCTGAGATTTATGCAGCGAAGCATCATCGTAAGTTTCCTACAAGAATTTAAGCATTAATTTTTAATACATCATTTACACAAGTTTTCCCTCTGCAGCTCTATAGATCATCACTCAAATACACAAGGCATATGATATAAAGATACATATTTCAATCATCAAATTAAGTACAGTAAACATTGTACAGAAAAGTACAACATAAAAGCAAAGAAAACAAAGTAAAAAACCCTGCATATATATATTGTATAAAAACATAGTGCATACATATATAAACAGCACAAAGTAATACATCATTTCAGGTACACTTAAGTTGGATGTCTTGGTCTGAAAACATTAATTAGCTTTCAATAATGCATCATGCTTCGACACTGACAGCTGAGAGTTCCCTAGTATCAAGAGTCTAAATATAAAATTTAGAAATAAGCTACAGCCAAGTGGCGATAATATCTGATTTTATTCATATCTTGCTTTTTAAAAAGTATTTGAATACATTTATGATAAATTGTTTGCCATCTATTGGTTATTGAATATTCTATTTTCTCATAGTAAACTTTCTGATTCCCCCTCCTCCAAAAATATGAATGCTACCTTCTGACAAAACCAGTGACCAAAAGACAGATTTTTCACTCTGACAGCTCAGTTTAACTGTAATTATAACTAAAAAAGAATTCCACTGAATTTTAGCTTATAAATTAAGCTAAAACAGTAGAAGTTTGTATCTAAAACAGTAGAAGTTTGTATATTAAAATCTAGCCACAAAACACAATCAGTTGAAACAATCAAGTCTATGACTAAGAAGGTCTGCCACTAAAAATTGCTGCAGTTTCCTGAACAGCAGAAATTAACATTTTCCAGAAATAAGCAGAGTATGAGGACCTAAGAACATCAATCACACAGGACTTCAAATTCAGCAGCAGAAAGAGGACTGGGAGAAAGTTACATTTAACTACCTGCGTTTTAACATGCAAAAATTTCTACTATTGTCTACTCTGACATAAAGAACTGATTATTCAGATTTTCCTAGTCTGATCCAGAGTAGGTGATCCAAGCCAGAAACAAAACTTCCAGGTCATCAGAAGATACACAGTTTATTTTCACCAATTATTTACCAGAAAAAAAAAAAAAAAAAAAAAGAATTCTGCTGAACTGTGAAAAAGAGCTCTCAGATTGCCACCCAACAGAAATTAAGCATAACAAAGATCTCTTGCATGACAGGAAAAAATAAAAAAATAAAAATCAGAGTTCAGAATTTTATTCTCTGCTTTTCAGTCTTCCATCACATATGGGGACCTGCCTCTGAGGCAGACAGCACTAACCTGCTTCTGAACAGCTAGACAGGGATTGCAGATTTTGATTATCATCTTCCCATATTTCTAATCATCTTTTCCCTGAAGAATCAGGGTGTAACTTCCTAAAAACCTCTCTAATAAGAGGGCAGGAAGGAGATAGGACAGTACTCCAAACAAGCTCTCTTGCCTATGAGCAAAAAGCAACTTCCAGTGGCTAGGAAAGCATGTGTCACCTGAGAGACTTTAACGGCTTTCTTTATTTGCTGTTCTTCCCACTTAATTTGTGCTTCATCTTCACTTGATTCATCACCCTCAGACACTGGAAGTTAAAACAATCATTATTAGATGTAATTACATCCTTTATTTTTCCCCTCTCATGTTCTCCTCTCTCTAAAGCAACAATAGTTCTCCCAATGTATCTCCCAAGTGATACACACAAACCAGCAGATTAAAAAAACCTGCAGATGGAGGACTTCCAGACTGAAAGGCAAGGATGGCTTGGAAATGGCTAGTGGGATTTGCAGAATTCAACGCCAATATTAATTTCCCCAACATATTGTTTCTTGGACAACTACTACTGCAGTACAAGGAGCAACACCATCTCCTTTTTATGTCTCAAAGTAAAGTTGTGTATAACACATGTAAATAAGAGTGTAAGAACAGACTATAACACAGCAAATGCTTGAGTGTTCCAAAATGTACACTCTACTATAGATACAAAAATATTTCATTAGCATTAATTGGAATTGCATAATCAGCTTGTAGTTATGAATAACCCTTATTCAAATAAGGCTAACTAGTGCTTCATAAACAAAACTATAAGCAGCTAAAAGAGGATAAAAGCATGGAAAAGCCAGATATGCTTTGCATGCAATAGGTTTCTTTACTTCTGAAGAGCTGTGCTGTTGAGGGGTTGGTTTCTTTTTTTCCCCTTTTTCAAGAACAGTTACAATGTTGATGCAGGGTGAGCACTCAGAAGACCAGACCGGAAGCCTGAGGCAGGATTTAGAGCAACTTTATTCACATTAAATGCTGTGCCTCCTAAAAGGCAATTTTTTTCAGTCAACAAGGCCAAAAATAATTTTTTAAATGTTTCTTAAAGCATCCTGTATCACATTAGCGAGACCTAAACCAGGTTAATGTCCCAAATAAACATCACGTACCAGCTGTGTAGCCCTTTGCCAAGACCCCTGGAGGAACAAAGCCTTATGCTGCACTCACGCTTTACTGGGCAAGTTGCATGTTCTTCCAGACATCAGTAAAATAAAGCCACAACCACTGGGAGAAGTGACACAAACTCACCCATGTGTTCAGTTATCCTCTGTCTAAGAGTTCTCATTTTAGGAACAAAATTGAGATTCTTCATATCAGACTCATCTTCACTCTCTAAGTCACTGCTTTCTCTTCTCCGAGACACCTGATGACTGTTTGAAACATTCAGCGGAAGATAATCAGCCTGTGTCCTGGCCAAGTGACGTTTCCTCCGAGCAGCCTCAATACAAGCTGCACTGGGGATATTACCTGCATTGAAGAGAAAGAAAATCTAAGCAAAAGACTAAAAGCAACACTATCATTCCTAATGTCACCTAATATCAATAATCACCACAGTTCAGGATCACTGTGCAATTCTGAATACAGGGCACAAGATATTTTTCTATTAGACTTACCATGTTGAATATAAGGACATGGCAAAGCACCCTTAAAAAGTAGCTCTCAATCTAAAGACAAAGCTCAGACTTATTTCTTTTAAAGAAATTGCTATTAGCCTGTGCTCCTTCTTCCCATGTCCCTAAAAGATCAGGCTTCCTAAACTTTGTGAATTTACAAAGGAATCCAAAGGTCACAAATCAGCACAAATGAGATTATATTTTAATCTCATGAAGGGACTTGTGCATGGTTAAACAGGAATTTTTTGCTGCCTTTCTTCTGAAACCAATGGTCATCACTTCTGATCCATTTCCAAAATTAACACAGAAATACAACAAACATCCACAAACAAAAACATTGGGGAACCATCACTATTCTTTCAGAAGAAGGGTAGCCCTGATTCAGCACAAACAAGATGCCTACACCTTACATGATTTAAGCTGAATGGGATTCATCTCACCTATCTTGTCATGTACTTCAAAGAAAGAATGTTGTCAAATAACATCCTGTAAAAAAAAAAATTCCAGCAAACTAACCTGGTGATAAATCCTTCCTCCTCTGTAGAGAGCTGGATTCATTTTCAGAGTCTGAGCTGTTGTTGTCCTCACTTAATGAGGAATAACTCTCATCCTCCTCCTCTTCTTCACGAGTGCCTTTGGTGTTGCCAGTTCTAGGCTCTAACTGACAGATTTCTGGTTTAGGTGAAAAAAGTAAGATTCATTGTTTCAGTTGCTGGAATCTGATGTGCCATAACTGGTTACCAGTTACTATTTACACCTTGCTCCAGCAAAGACTGGTCACTTATCCATCTCCATCTATCCTCATAAAAATATGTCAAATCTTCCAACACTCCGTAATTTACAAGCCAGTTCTTGTCTTGAATCAAAACATCTCTGACAGTACTAAACTAATACCCTTCAGAGACACAGAACACATTTACATGCACAAAGGCAATGATATCAGTTCCCAGGCAGCAACTGATTAACATTCTGATAGCTCATAGCATGTTTGGATTCATCTCCCTTGACTTTACAAACTGTATTTAGAAAGCGGGGTTTGTTTTTTTTGTTTTTTAGCATTAACAATGAAGGAGTCCTTGTTTAAACTATAGAGGTTTATGTATGTCTGTCTTGTCTCTAATTATCTTCCAATTCTTTAAAAACATTGATTTCTCTTCATCTGCCACTACCTCTTCAGTAAATCATCAGAATGTGCCCCCTGTTATAAGAGGAAAAGGTTACTTTCATAAGAAGTTACTAAGAAACTTTACCATCACATCTGAATCACAATCTCAAAGGACATTATTTCTCAATCTAATTAATTTTTATCTAACAGTAGCAATTAGGGTCTATCTTTTAATTGATAGAGATGTCAAGAGAGGGGAAGAGAACTTTCAGACACATTTCTTTGTAAAAGACACAGACCCCAAATATCCCAGTAAGAAACTTAATATAGTTCAATGGGACTAGGAATACTACCAGAACAATCAGGACTATTGATTGCATTCAATTAAAACATTCAAATGCTGTAACAGCCAACTGTTTAATAACACAAAGTTTAAGGTTTACATGAAGTTCTATCAAAGTCCTGCTAAGCTCACATTTTCTCTCAATGCAAATACTCAGATCAAGGTGCAATTCGACAGCAATAAGCACTGGATAGTTGTCGCAGAGTTTGAAAGATATGATATATATCCGAGGTATAAATTTATCATAAGTTTATTAACTCTGATATACTATAGGGGTTCTGCATACCCAGGTCTTCTCAAGAACAGCCTCCAAGTTCTGATACCATTTTACCAAGGTCATACGGAAAATAATTCCAGCAGAAATAGATTAAAATTGAAAATCTGTAGAATACCATTATAAATATAATCTTGGGTTCAATTAACAAGTGAAAGACATGTAACAGCAGTATTTGTACATCACTCTTTACTTAACGATTTTGTAATATATTTTCATATAAGTGTTCCATAAAATATTTAACTGAAAAAAGTCTTACTTTTGCTTTCTTCAATTTCTGTCTGTGTAGGCAGTAGGCTTTCCTTCTTCTGAATTCTAAAGGTTACTTCATTGAAGGATGGCTTTTTAATTTTAAAAAATTCTTCACCTATCCAGATAAAACAAAATGATTTTGAGTATCATTAACAAAGAGAGCAGTGTATGTGCACATATATATATACGTATTACATATAAAGTGCACATAATCTCTATGTGTGCACAGCATATTTTTTAAGTTCTGGTTGCATTAAGTCTAACTAGTTCTATGGCTTTATCACTCAAGATCCATCAGCTCTTAACTTAAAACTGTGCAGCTCAGCCTCCTCGGTACACCAACACCGTCCTGTTGAAATGTATTGTTTCTTTGCAGTCTGTATCCATCACCAAGTGACTCCTGTAAGGTGCCCTGACCCGCTTTGTGTCATCAGCCGCAAAAGAAACAGCCCAGAAAAGTCAATTAAACATTTAAATTTCAGTTATTTAAGCTAGCTCATCATTAACTATGCTAGTCCTAGAATCATACATTATCTTCTTGTTTTCTCTGGTTTTCTCCAGCTCCAAGCAGTTTTTAAATGCTCCCACCAAAAAAGCAGATAGACGTGTCATCTTCAAACTACTCTTAAATGCATTTCTCTGAAAAACGCTCAGAGCAGCCCCACCTGTAACATCGCATTCCCATCTGTGGTCACAAGGAGGTATAAAGGCGAGCTGCTGTGCCGCAGGACACAG